GGTTGCTGCGTAATTTGGAGGTGATAGGAGAGGTGCAATTGATCCTCTTGATTTAAACTTGCCCTATTTCTATTTGTTGGATGTATAGGTATGTGGTTGGGCAGTACCCAAGATTTCTGAGGGCTCACTGGAAGTTCTTGAAAACTGTTGTGAACAAGTTGTTTGAATTTATGCATGAAACTCATCCAGGAGTTCAGGTAGGTTTCACCGGTGCTTGTTTCTAAACTTTTTCGAATAATTTTCTTGTTCATCTTGTGCCTTTGGGGTATACTTGTAGTATGCGTAATATTGTATCTTTCTTGCTCGTTGAGTAGAATTTTACTAATTCTATGTTACTTGTAGGATATGGCATGTGATACATTCTTGAAAATCGTTCAGAAGTGCAAGCGTAAATTTGTCATCATGCAGGTTAGTATTGCAGTATTGTACTGATATTTCTATGGTAATGGTTTGAGGTGGCAATGCCCTTAAAAGTATTCCTATGTTTGCATCCTACTTATGCAGGTTGGGGAAAATGAGCCATTTGTATCAGAACTTTTGACAACTCTTCCATCAACTATAGCAGATCTTGAGCCTCATCAGATTCACTCATTCTATGAATCTGTAGGCTCTCATCTCACATTTGCTTGATTGTACATTTAACTTTGTTACAAAGAGGTTGATAACTGTTTCTGCTTTGTACGTTGTAGGTGGGCAATATGATTCAGGCAGAATCTGATCCTCATAAGAGAGATGAATATCTACAGAGATTGATGGAGCTACCTAATCAGGTAAAATCTTTCTTCGTTACTGATTAAATTTGAGAAAGATAACTTTATTAGTTGTTTCCAGTCATTACTCCTTTTGTGTGACTGTTACCTTTGTTAGTGTCTGCATGAGTTTCTTTGTGACTAATGCATTGATTGTCTTCTTTAGAAATGGGCTGAAATTATCGGGCAGGCGCGTCAAAGTGTGGATTTCTTAAAAGATCAGGATGTGATAAGGGCAGTGCTTAATATATTGCAGGTCCGTTTCTGAACATGCATTGGGTGCAAACATGTATTGCAACTAATTTTAATTTAATAGTCTCTGCTTACAGAACTGTTGTAATCATATGGCACATAAAGATTGCTTTTTCTGGTACCGTTATCTTATGGAGCCTCCCTCTCTCTCTCAATTCAAATAAAAAATTACTTAATTTGTCCTGGTCCGCTATAATTTTTGAGCCATACCTTTTTACTTGCAGACAAATACTAGTGTTGCCAGCTCTCTTGGAACATATTTCCTGCCACAGATCTCTCTTATCTTTTTGGACATGCTCAATGTTTACAGGTGATTTTGGATTTCGTAGCTCCTCTTTCTGTTTTTGTTGTTCCATCTTTTTTTTCCCCTCATGATGACAATTTTGTTTAAATGCAACAGAATGTACAGTGAACTTATATCTACCAGTATTGCTCAAGGGGGACCCTATGCTTCCAGATCATCTATAGTGAAACTTTTGCGGTAGGTTTTCAATTTTGGAACTGCATATGCTTTTGAGTTTGCTTTTATATTTATCTCGGTCATGCTAATTTTCAACAGCTCAGTCAAGAGGGAAACACTAAAGCTTATCGATACCTTTTTAGACAAAGCTGAAGATCAACCTCATATTGGAAAGCAATTCGTGCCTCCAATGATGGACCCTGTTCTCGGTGACTATGCACGGAATCTGCCTGATGCGAGAGAGTCCGAAGTTCTCTCACTTTTTGCCACCATAATAAATAAGTATGCATGCTTTTCTCTGGCTTTTGTGTTTAGTTGAATAGCATTGAAGATCCTCTTGCAGTAATATAGATTTTCGTGGCCGTGTGTGTGTGTACGCACTTACATGTATAGGACAGTAGTGACGATTATACTTTTGTAGTGTTTTATACACTTAGTGCATCTAGTTGATTTTGGTTCTTATAATGTGTGATATTGATGCTTATTGCTATCAAGTATTGCGCTTGCTATTATGTTATCAATTAATGTAATTATTCTATTGATTTCTTTAAGGTATAAGCGAGCAATGATTGATGACGTTCCTCGAATCTTTGAAGCCGTTTTCCAGTGCACCCTGGAGGTTTGTAAATTATTTGTTGCATATTATTTGTAGTGTGACAACGATTGTCATTTCCCAAAATTTGTTTCATATTTTAATTGTTTTCGTTGCAGATGATAACTAAGAATTTTGAAGACTATCCCGAGCATCGACTCAAGTTCTTTTCATTACTTCGAGCCATCGCGACTCATTGTTTTCCAGCTCTGATCCACTTGTCCAGTGAGGTATGTACTTACATCAAACAAAGTTAGCTGAATGTTTTGTCCTTTTGTCTTGTATAATTATTCTGCCTTCTTTTGTTCTATTGCTTTATGCCAGCAACTGAAACTTGTCATGGACTCGATCATTTGGGCCTTCCGTCACACTGAGCGGAACATTGCAGAAACTGGGCTCAATCTTCTGTTAGAGATGCTGAAAAATTTTCAGGTGCTCTAGATTTGCTTATTTTATCTGTTGCATTATTTAATTATTTCAATCAGGATTTACAGTTTACGTGGGTGGCTTGGCAGGCATCCGAGTTTTGCAATCAGTTTTACAGGACATATTTTTTGACAATAGAGCAAGAAATATTTGCTGTTTTGACAGACACCTTCCATAAGCCTGGTTTTAAGCTGCATGTCCTCGTACTGCAGCATTTATTCATCCTGGTACTGTAACTATTCTCTCATACACGCTCTTATCATTATATATTTGTTTTCAATTGTAAAGTTCCCGTACATTACCAGTTGCTTTGCTACTTACAAATAGCTTTTTGTTACCATAATAGGTGGAAACTAGTGCATTGACCGAGCCCTTGTGGGATGTTGCCACTGTTCCTTATCCCTATCCAAATAATGCCATGTTTGTACGTGAATACACCATCAAACTTTTGAGTACATCTTTCCCCAACATGACAGCTGTTGAGGTACTGAATCATACGTGTATTCTTTGCTTTTTGCTTATTCAATTATTCTAGTGTGCCTCTTGACCTATAAGCTCACCTATTTCTGGATCTTTGTAGGTGACACAATTTGTGAGTGGTCTTTTTGATTCGAGGACTGATCTTCCATCATTCAAAAACCGTATCAGAGACTTTCTCGTGCAATCCAAAGAATTTTCTGCTCAGGTGAAGTCTCACTCCCAATTACTGTTGTTGGTTCGAATCGTAGCTGCATTTCCCGATGATTTCGTCCTTAGATGCTTATGGCTATGTTTGGTAAACTTAGTTGATAAACTAGTTTATTGCTTTTAGGTGAATTTCGAGCTTATAGCTGATAGCTTATGGCTTATGGTTGAAAAACCAGCTTATATGATAAAAGTGTAGCTGAAATAAAAATTCCAATGGGCTTATTTGAAAAGTTACCCAAGGAAGCTTATGAGATAAGCTTTAGCTTTTTAAAAAAGCTCGTCCTACCAAACCAAGCTATTTGAATACAGGAAGCTTATAAGCTAATCAAATAAGCTATAAGCTAGCTTATATGCTTACAAACACAGCCTATGCATATTGTAAATGCGTGTGCACACATACACACACAACACACACATAACGTTTGCTCCGTTTAATTATGCAGGACAACAAAGATCTTTATGCAGAGGAGACTGCTGCTCAAAGAGAAAAGGAACGGCAACGAATGTTAACAATCCCAGGACTCATTGCTCCCAATGAGATACAAGATGAGATGGTCGATTCGTAAAATTGTTAGGTAATTTTGCTGCCAGGGCCGATTTTGTGGAATTGTTTTATCCTTTTTTTTTAATGATCTCTAGAAATTAGACCTGAGAATTTTACGGGGTTTCTATAGGTCTGGTTTCTTCCTCTGTNGTCCAATCTATTTTTAGGATAATTATATCATGTGATGGTGGAGCAGTTTGAGGCAGAATGGAACTTTATTTTGCTGGTGGTAGAGAGAGTATTTTAGCTTCTAATGTTGGGGGAATGAGATTTCTGAATCTGTTTGTGATGATGACAATGTAGTTCAGAATACTTCGTCTCATGTATACGACTGACATGGGTTGTGAGGAGATTTCTCTATTTATATCAAGGGGTAATTTTCCTTAAATACCTGAGAATTCTCCAATGGTTACTTTTACATCAAGCTTTTGATGGGTGGTGCTAAACAGTGTGAACAAACTTTCTCTAGAGACAAAAAGATTTGAGAGCTTTGGATGCATGCTCCATCAACTTCATTGTATTTGTTGTCTTATACATGGCATATGGATTCATAAAAGCAAGATACTGATATTTCTTAGTTTCTAAATTTAATCAAATTATAAAAGTATAGTTTTGGATTCTATCTTCAATAAAAATTATTTGAGTCTCCCATCAAATGTTGTTTCTATTAAATTCACTCCTATAAAAAACAAGTGAATTGATTAACCTTAGGGTGTGTTTGGATGCAAATATATTTACTCAAAACGAGTTTTTATATTAACTATTAATTCTAAAAATATTGGTATATTTAATTGTTAGTGTGATTTTGAATTTATATTAATTAATTTTTAAAATAAAATAATTAAAGTTAATTTGATGTAAAAATATGAGAGATGATTCAAAGTGATGATTAGTTAAAATTAGTTAGGAAAGATGATTTGAAGTGTTGATTAGTTAAAATTATGTGATTAGATGAATAGTGAATTAAAGTTGATGTGATGTGTAATAATGATTGATTGGTATTATTAAATTATATTGATAATATTAATGATAGTGGAATTGAGTTAAATTTTAAGTATGAATTGAAAAAATTTATAACAAACACCCCTAATACTTTTATTATTCAATAAAATAGGATTAGTTCCATTTTTTTTTTTTCCAAAATTGGCGTGTAGAAGGAAACATTATTTATCATAATATGTGAAAAGTAATATAAACTTAACAATTATATTGTGGTAAATAACTTATTTAAAAAAATTATATTTAATTGTATCCTTTTCGGTTTCCTTCCAATGGCCCAATCAGAAGCCTGATAAACGCACGCTCTGCGTACAACGGACACAAACTCGTGCGGCCGATAGCAAGAGTCAAACAGCACGAGACGACTCACCTATACATACACGTGGCTTTATATAACATAATATTCTCTTTCTTCAAATCAAATTGCCAATTAATCCCTGCAATTGGACCAGAATTCCCCCAAAATATGAAATCCCCAAACAAACTGAATAGAAACCCTAACCCTAGACACATCATCCGCAATTACTTCGATTAGATCGTCGAAATGCCGGCTGCTGCCTGTCTTCGTCTCAAATTGCCGATCATATACCTTGTTTTCCGGTGGCTAACCAGTTGAATTTTCAGTTTGTTTCTCGCGATCATCGAGCCTTGGGGCTGGCGGAGTTTTCTGTACTTCCTGTGATTTGCTAGACTCTCGAGCTCTTTTGCATGTCTGCTTTTTAGAAAGTTTGAATTTTGAAATTTAATTCGGCCCTTAAGCCTACTATACTATAGAGGAGCGTGAGGAAAAAAAGTGAGATAAAGTAAGGTTAAGCTTGAAGAAATAGGATTTATTTTACACACTTGTAGCTTGTGGTGTATGTAGATACTGTATCAGGTATTTGTGCAGAGAGAGGAAGAGAGAAGGAGAGTGAAATGGGTAGCTCAGAAACAGGAGGATTAGTGGCGGAATGTAGTGTGGGAAGTATAGTTTGGGTTCGGAGACGAAATGGATCTTGGTGGCCGGGAAAGATACTTGGAGCTGAAGAGCTTTCATCTTCTCTCATAACATCTCCACGGGCAGGAACTCCTGTCAAGCTTCTTGGAAGGGAAGATGCAAGTGTGTAAGTCAATAGAATAAAAAAATCATTACTTGTAAGTCTGCCTGATGCTGATACATGTCTACTTGCTGTTGAGTGTTCGATGCTTGGGATTTTTTATGCTCGACTTATTAATTGAGATGAATACCGTGGTACTGAGTGCTGACATTTTTGGTTTGGAGTACGTAACTTAAATCATCAATGGGCATCTTTCAGAGCACAAATATGTCTTGCATTGCATTGTGAATTGAGGATATGGTTGTTATCACACCTTGGAAAAAAGTGTTGATTGGCTCTTGTGTGCAAGATAAACAGCATGCCTCGAACTCTCTTGACTCTATGTTTAGTAGCATGCTGAAGTTCTTCTCTGGTTTATCGTTTTGTAATCATTGTAATGAACCTGGACTCTTTAAGAACCGTATTATATGATATTTTTGCATACTCAAATAAAAATAATTTGATCCCTGATGTCTTTTTTGACAAACTGTTTGAGCTTGTGCATCTTATTAGAGTGACATGTAACAGTAAGCAAAGTTCAATATATTTGGCTGTTAGGTTCTGGATCATTTGCTTTTTTGTATGTCGTGCATATTGAGTGTGATTCTAGTGAAACCATTTGGATGATATGTTGTGTTGGTTTGCTTTAAAGGAAACTATGTATCCTTATGAAGAATGAACAAAGAGTTGCTGGATTTTTTATTTATTTTTTATTTTGTTGGGCGTACTCAAATTTTCTTTTGCCACATCCTCATGAAAGAACTGCGGCACGTTCTGATTTCCAGTTAAATGTTCTCATTCTCACTGGCTCAACTTTTAAGTTTGTTTATCATCTAAATGAAAAATTCTTCTGTGTCAAGTATGCTTTACACAAATAGCTTGTATAGAACTTTTCATGAGAGTTAAGTGCTACATACTTCCGACTGGAATTCCTGTTACTCTAATTTTGTCCAACACGTGAAGAACTATTGTATTTATGATCTGCGGCTTGTGAGATGGATTATATTTTCTTACCTCATGATCAGTGGGCAAATGCATATGACAAGTATTCGATTATATTTTCTGTAGAAGTCAGTCTATTTTAGTGAAATGCAGAAGAAATATAAATGTATCCTGATTCATTATCCAGTCTGTGCTTCTGTATGATGTTTCTGGCATCTGGCTATTCATATCACTAGGGACTGGTACAACTTGGAGAAGTCAAAACGTGTAAAGGCGTTCAGATGTGGCGAGTTTGATGACTGCATAGAAAGGGCTGAAGCTGCTCAGGGCATGCCTCCAAAGAAAAGAGAGAAATATGCACGCCGTGAAGATGCTATAATGCATGCACTTGAACTTGAGAGGCAAATATTGGAGAAAAAATGTGGGAAATTGGAAATTTCTTCTAATGGTAGAAGCAGAAGTTCACCAGATGCTGTTACTTCTTCTATTTACATGGGTAATGGAAGTGGAAGTCAACATGATTCAAGATTGGATCAGCTACCTCAGAAGGTAGGCTCATCTCTTGCTGAAAAAAATGTAACAAATCAGAATATTTATGAGGAGACAGTTACGGAGGGAAATCAACTCAGTGGAGATGATGATAGTGCTGTTGGTCTACCTCGGATGAGAGGCTTGCAGGACTTTGGACTTCGTACTGCACCAAGTGAGCTTCCATCAGTTGCTTCAGATTCATTAGTAGTTTGTTTTTGTTGATATGCTTAAGTTCTCTAGTTGGTCTTCTTTTGGGAAAAAAAAAAATTGTAGAAATGAAATTCTTTCAAACCACTGGAGGCCTATTAGAGAATGAAGTAGGGTTAGGTTGCTTAGTCTGCAACATGTTATGACATCATTTTGGAGCTCTTTGTTTTGCTAGAGATGGCTGATGGTCTTTGAAAGAAAAAAGGGATAGATTTACAAGAGTTCAATTTAGAATTAGATGAAAATGGAATGATGAAAGCTGAAGTGGTATAAAAGTTGTAGAACGGTGAGATAATACTATTTGTAATAAATCTGAGGGTTTGGATAGTAGAATTCATGGGAATGTGTGATTGATTTTCAGTTTTCTAAAAACTGGCCGGATGTGACTGTTGCGAGAAAAATTGAAAGTAGCATAAGTAGTTCTATTGTTGGGAAATGGTAGAGAATTGCTTTTAGGAGAAACTCTAATGAACAGAATAGTAGACAAGCGTGCTCTGGGTCTCTTGGCAGAGGGCAATTAATAACAACCTTCTTGCTTTAATACTGAAATTTGTATCAGATTTCTGGATTTTCCTGATACATTATTGTTCTGTTTCTTTCTCTCAGGAGAGGAGCTCTCAGGAGTTGCATTTCGTGCCAAGAGGAGTAGAAATGCTTATCTGCCGTATGATTCTGTCGATTACTTAATTGACGACCAAATTCTGTCCTCCCAGATGGAAATTCCAGTGTCTAAAATTGAAGAAAGCAGCTACCAAGCAGACATAGGTGAAAACCATATTTTGGGATCTACAGAAGATACAGAAACGGATTGTTCTGAAACTGATTCACTGGAATCAGACTCAGATGATGAGATGGCCACACTCTCTGGTGAGATTTCTGCCGTCTTTTCATTTTTAATCAGCAATGTGGATCTCTTTGGTCATCATGTTCTTTGTAAAGACATGTATTGTTATCCTTTTAAAGTTGGGCACTCTTATTATATTTTATTTCATTCATAATTTTGTTTTATGCTTTTCCTAGCATGATATGTCACATATTAATGTCTACTAATCAATNTTGCATTGATCCTTTCGATCAAAGGACTTCTGTACTGTTGGTGGGCTAATTCTTAATGCTCCGTAATTTTTCTTATCTACGATTTTTTTTTTTCATGTCTGATTGCTCAGCATCTGATATTTCTTCATGTCTATTTATTTCATTTGATATCCATGGGTGAATTATTTTATTACCATTAACGGCAATTTTTTGGGATATAACATCAAAGTTCACTATCTGACCTATACTGTATTTCTGGATCTGCAGATGGTTCGGCCTCTATAGAATTGCGACCTAAATACCCGAGAAGAATCGAAACACCAGAAGAACATGCGAGCATCAGCAGCAGTGACGACTTTGATGAGCTGGCATTTGCCGATAGTTTGTCTCATCCTTACTTACACAGCCAGGTCTCAACCAATACTGGGGTTTCCAAATGGCAGCACAAAGGAAAAAGATATAACCGCAACCTTGCAAACAGTAATGAAGGGCACATAAAGAACTCCAAAAGGAGTCGTAATAACTTTCCCGATTTTGCCGATCAAAGTTTCAAGAGCCGTAAATCCCGATATGGGCCCACGCGATCACACAATCCTTACGAGTTTGCAGATTTCGAGGGTAGCTTAGGTTGGTACAGTCGATCTGCCATGAGAGGGTATTCAAACTACTCGCATGATAATTTTCTTGGTGGTGGGCCCATGTTGTTAGATGTGGATTTGAAGGTTGAGGCAAATAACTACTCTAAGGATGTTCCGATTATCTCGTTGATGAGCAAGTTGAACGGGCACGCCATCGTGGGCCACCCGATCGAAATCGAATCGCTCGAGAATGGTTCGACCGAAACATATGTTTCGTCAAATGACTATTTTGCCCCTAGCCCGGTCCCATTGACTTCGATGTGGAGGACGGGTCGTAGGACGGCGAATACCCGTGTGCCACGCCCGTTTTTACTGTCGTTTGCTGTACAAAAGGGATCCAATCAAAAGATAAGGGCGCTTTCATCATTTGCGCTGGGGAAAAATCGGAGTGGCTCAAGAAGCAGTAGGTTGATTAAGAATGTGAATACATGCAAGACGGTCGCGTGTATACCTGTTAACTTGGTGTTTAGTCGTTTACATGAGGATTTGGTCGATCGTCATCAGTAATAACAGGTTACAGAAGACTTGAAGTGGAATATATATGTGGATAATACACTGTTTTTAGGAGAGCATGAATCTACATTAATCCCCCACTTTTTACAATGGAGCCCCTATTTGATTGCTGAGGTCAGATCATATCTAAGGTTCTTATGTACTTTTAGATTAGATGACTGTTGTTTTGTGAATTTGCAGCAGGTCAAGTATTGCTAGCTTTTGTGTACTTAAGGATCAAAGTTGATTTGGACTGCAAAAAGGAGCTGAATAGATTGTAGATTTATACTCATATGAAAATCTGACTTTCTACCCTTTTGTCCTGGTTGTGTTTCTGGGTTGAAAGCCATTTTTTCTTAAAATCTGTACTGAACAGGTGAAAAAGTTACAGTGAATGCAAGCAGGAGATGGGTTTGATCTCTGTATATTTTGAGATTACTGATTTTGAGTTATGAAGTATTTCGGATGCAGAGCAGTTGGATATACTTCTAATTCAATTTTTTTTATTTTTTTATTTTTTTATTTTTTTTTGGAGAAGGTAGATTTGAGTGGGAAAGATTAATAGTTAATTATAATGTGACAGAGAAACAATAGAATAATGATTGACAATTATAAATATGTGAATGAATGGCTATTAAATTTTATAATTAAAATTAATAGAAATATATGTAGTAATATTTGATTTTTAATTTCAAAAACGTAATAAGGAAAATTGATGAAAAGAAAATAGAGAAAAAAAATGAGATAAATAGGTAGTGTTATTTTTTTTGTTGGTAGATCAAAATTGGAAAAAAAAAATGATATCCCATCAATTCATGTGTGGAAGAGATTATAATTAAAAGGGCCTAGACAGTCATTAGCAAGCTCAAGTACTTTTTAACATATAAAAGTGGATAAAGCTTGTAAGATCCTCCTAATCTAAGCTGATCTAGTGATCTAGCACAACTCAACACGTGCTATTGTACATTTACACGTAATAGATCTGAAGTTAAATATAATTTCTCCAAAGTAAATAAATTTTAAATTTCGTTTATGTCTAATTCTAATTCTAATCTTTAGCAATAAATAGAAGAATACTCTTGAGCTTGTTCTCTTTTTTCCTTCGGCTTATATGTCAATTATTTAATCATTGTGTGGCTTGAATTGCTTTCTTCAAAATATTCGTGTCAGGCTAAGTAAAAATGTTCACTTTATATGCACTAATTTATTTTGGAACCATCTCGATTTAATTATTAATAATAGTAACAGCAACTCCAAGGAACATTGAAATGAATATTTTTTTCAATAGACACCAACACTCAAAACAAAATGGTTTTTTTTTTCTCCTTCTATTTATAAATAAATTTTTTGTACGTGAATAAATTTAGTTTATAGGGACGAGTTTTTTTAAAGTTATAATTTACCTCATCAACCCACCCGGTGAGACAACATTTGAAAAAAGTCCAATGAAAATTTTAATTCAACTAATTTATTATATAATTTACCAAATACTTTTACTATATTAACTTATTCATGTGTCATAATCTCAAAATTCTACCTGGAAACCAAAATTTGACTTCCAAAATTCTCCAACCGTGTATTCTACCAAACAGCCCCCAACACCAACCCGTCAACTACCCTGAAAAAAGGAAAAAAAAAAAGAAAAAAAAAATCCAAACTCCGTCAACTTTAACGGTCCCCATCAAAACACGGCAAGAATTTAAGACGGCAAAAATGCCGTAGTACGGTGGTAAGTGAGGGGCCACCGATAAATCGTCAAAATAGACAAACTTTATTTGGGTTTTAGAAGAAGAATTTAATAAAAACTCACTGCACATTATAAATTAGGGCACTCTTTGCATTTGACCTTTTGCTTCTCAAAACTTCCTTATCCAAATTTACTTTTTTCTTCATCCTTTCTTTTTCTTTATTTACTCGTCCAAAAGTGTGTTTTTTATGGCAGCCAATTTGCAGAGCCGTGGATTTGTGAGCTTGGGGAAACGATTGATCGGCCAGAAAATAATTTGATTTTTTTTCTTGTTGATGTTATGTGAAAGATGATTTTGTTGTGCCTTTCGATTTGGCACAAATTCTTATGTGATAGGCTGACTCACCGTTAGGCTGTCATAAATTGGTTAAAAAAATGCTTATTTATATTTTATACTGTGAAATATCAAAATTTGTTTATGTTGTTTAATAGCATGTCATTTCCGTTTGGAAGTATGCATATATATGTTAGAAAATGTATGATTGTCTAACCGTTAGTAGTGGCTAAGAGTAGCCTTGTTGATTGATTTGTAACAAACTTTGAGATCAATTAAAGTGATTTGTTGTTACTTATTTCATATTTATTGACTTTTTTTAGAGTGATTGCTTCTATCATAAATGGACACCCAAAATGATTGTATAATACAATCTAGAGAATTTATTGTGGGAGATTGTTTTCAGTGGCTAATCTAGGAAAACATTTTCATTTTGAGTAATGTAATAAGTCTGGTCATATACATTTCATTTATGAAGTGTATGATTTTCGGAGGCAAAAAGCTTACACTCGCCCATGTAGGTATGCGTTGATCCAACGGTTCAAAATCCAGTTTGGACAGTCCCTTAGCCATGAATTTTAAACTATCCTAGCTTCTATTAGTTTTAGTTGTTCATTAGATAGATTGAATAAAAAATGAACTTTATCATCAATAGTATCACAACACACTTGTGCTTGTGCGGGAGTGTGATGATCTAATGGCTCGGAACCCAGTGAGTTTCACCAAAATTTATTTGTCTTAAATCCCAAGTATCCATTTTGAATTTTTGAGGGTGAAAAAGAAAATATTGGTTGGTTTTCTTGGTAGTGACATGTAAACCAAATAAAGGTGGGATAGGTAAGACTAGGAGAACTGAAAATCTTCGATATTATTAACATTAGTTTGTCAAACTTTTGGAAGTTTAAATAACCCCAAAATCCATGCTATTCCTTCACTTTTATTTTTATGAAAAAACAAAAAACAAAAACTTCCATTAGTATCATTGGTTTCAACAAGTATGAGATCTTTAGGTGTATTTATTATTTATATAATGCTTTGGTTTGATCAATATCTTGGTATGAAGTAATGCACATGTTATGTGTAGAACTCAATAATCAAGATTATTACTTATTGGTCCCCTTTACTCTATTTTTTTTTTTTCATATTTATTAATCACAATTCTCATTTGTTATTTATCAAAAAATGCAGGAGCATGCACAACTCCGTCTACGATAAGAACCCAGACGAAAACACCCACTCGACCATTGTTCCAGACCATGTGATGCCACCACAAGCTGATGACTATTGGGCCCCACACCCCAAGCCTGGCGTGTTTGGGCCTTCCTCCAACGACAAGCCAGATTTGGGCCAGGACTCGGGCCCAGACTCTGCTGCCGCTGATGAGTCAGCATTGGAACAAACAGCTTTCTTTCGCCCGAACGAGGATTTGGAGAAGCCACCGGTTCACCCTTAAACGAACTGTAAATTAAATATATATTTATGTATTTCTCAACTTTGATGGATATTGTAGTGTAGTGTGTATCTAGCTATGAAGACTGAGTTTGAATATTTATGCATAATAATTAATGGCTTATGTATATTGCATGTGAACCTATTTTGTAATGCTATTTTGCAATGACACATTATTTCATGCTCAAATATTCTACTTTAAAATATCATATAACATAAAATGGCCATTTGGAAAAAAGAAAGAAAGAAAAAAGACTTTATTATCGATGCCTTTGCTCAAGAACAGTTAATGCAGACTTCAACATTTCGCGTGCTTTTCTATCTGGTGAACATCCAGAAGCTTCCATCTCACTATATATCTTAGGGACCTGATCACAAAAACAAATAATCCAAATTCAGTAAATATGCTAAATTGCTAATTAACTCTGCCCTTAAACAACTTCTAAAGATCAGCACCAAAACTTCAGGATATTAGAGTTACAACTGATTATATAATAAGAAGCAAAAACCTCATCATCTTCGCATTTTTATTTATTTTAAATTACTTTATTTAGACGATTGCATTTTGCCCCCCAAACTAGTGAATTCGATACCCACTGGATCAATAGTAAAAAAACCTTGTGTGAGCAGGCATATATGAATATCCCCTCAAATTATTCACTTCGGAAAAGTTTCATAGCTGACTTTGACCTATCATTAGTTTAGTTGAGACATGGACAATGTTCGACTTTTGCCAAAAAAATATATATTTTAGGAACTTAAAAACGTATTAATTTTTAATTCCCTATTTTCACCTCAATTTCCCGTCTTTACCACTCTTCGACTAACGACTTGCATGGAACTATCAACTAGCTAAAAATGACACTATTCAGGACGAATGGAAGCATATGTTCTAAGTTCAGAAGGGCAAATGCAAATGTCACTCATTAATAAGGAACTAAGTTGTGTCATAATGGCTTCCCAATTCCCAAGATAACAACAATAGAAGCAGATAATTGGATTTCATACAATTTAGTATATTGGTGATATATATAATAAAATAAAATAAAAAAAAAATATATTTTTTTTGGAGTTCAACTATTTCCATTAAAAAAAAAGCACTGGGTACCTGATCGAATTTCTTGGACCACATAAACGCCTTCATCAGTGTGCTATACGTCACAACGTCAGGGCTAACACCCTTTCCATCCACAAGAAACACGATTTTCAGGGGAAGACAAAAGTGATTTTAAATTACATACTGTAAAAAGTTAAAAAAAAAAAATATGAGTGCCATGTGAACTTACACTCTCGAGTATGTGGTGATAGACTGCCATGGCCTCCATGTGCCTTCCGGCTGTAGCAAATGCATTAATTAGCACATTCAGCATTATTAGATTCGTCTCAATTCCTTCTTCTTCCATGAACTGCAGTACTCTCACAGTTTGTTCACATGATCCCTGAATTTAAGGAAAAAGAAAAAAGAAAGAGAGAGAGAAAATGTTAACTCTGCACTCTGCAGCATTGAGGATAATCTTGGACATGAAATTTCAATCTGATACAGATAGCGAAAAAATACCATTAACAAAGAATTGCGTACAATAAGTGCATATCTAAGTCTATCTTCTCCAAAAGTTTTAGCTGATTTTGCACAATTTGTGTCTCTCTCTCTTTTCATTCATTCGAACCTACATAATAATAGTTATCGCATTTGAAAATTTGGGCTATCCACCATACTGTAAAAATCAAACTAAAAACACTTTTCATGCTTGTTGGAGACGGTTAGTGCTAAATACATCAACATAAATCATTTAAATAACTAATCTGCAGATTAACGTGTCTGACCAAAAATAATAGTTGCATGCAAGATTCACTGCTGTCGGTAAAAGTGGAAAAAAGACCTGCTGAGCATAAGCATTTGCCAGAACACAGAAAATATCAGGCGACAGCTGAATGCCTTCCAATTTTAGAGCCCGTACACAATCCTCAGCATTTTCGAACTTCCCATAGTGCCCATAAATATCGACTAAAACGGCATAAACGGCACTGCTCTTTTCTTGTCCTTTGCGTTTCATAATCTCGAAAATTCTCTTCACTTCTTCCCACTTCCCTTGCTCCCCAAGGCTCGAAATAATGGTCATGAAAATCTTCGGGTCCGGATAAATCCCTAGTTCTTGCATCCTACCGAACAAATCAAGAGCACCAACATAATCCCCAAATTTAAAATGCCACCGAATTAAAGAACTCCATATTCTAATGCCCGGATTTATACGATCCTCTAGCATTTTCTCAAAAGCCTCCATAGCCTCACTCAATTCCCCTTGCTTCCCAAAAGTATCAATGATGCTAAAATATATTTTCCGATCCAAACCCAACCCATTTGCCTGCACCTCGCCCAAAACCCCAATTGCCTTTTTCCACATCCCATTATCCCTATAAATCTCAATAATCTTACTATACATGTACGAATTCGGAGAATATCCCTTTCTCTTCATCTCGGCTATCACAAGCCACGTGTCGTTCAACCGTCCCGCGCTCACGTAGTAATCAATCAAAATTTCAAATGTTTTACGATTCTTCTCTAAACCGAACTTCTCCATGGCTGTTAGCAATCTATCACAAAGGTCTAACAGGCCTTTCTTCAAACAGCTTCTGAGCATGGCATTGAACAGCCCAATTTTCGGCTTGCAGCCCGAAATCGTCATTTCTTGAAAAATCGCATCTGCTTCTAGCGTCCTACCTACCTCTGCAAGCCCGGTTATCAAACAGGAATAAGAACCTGGGTCGGGCCGGCAGCCCAAGGCCTCCATTCGAGCTAGCGTGGCCATGGCTTCATCGATTTCTCTTTCTTCACACAGTTCACGAAGGGTTTCATTGTATACGACGCAAGAAAGCTCTTTCGAGATGCAGCCTGCGTGCCCGTAAATCGTATGGATCGAATAGTCGACCGATTCTGAATCTGGGTGTTTTGCTGATCTGCAATTGGGGGCTTGTGAGGAGATTTGAGCAATGGGTTTCGAGCGTTTGCCATGGTGGTTAAGAGAAAACTGAAATAAGGGTCGAAATAATTCAAAAATGGAGAGCGGGTTAGGTTTAGAGAGAAGCATGAGCTGCATCTCCATGGTTTTGTCGCGGGATGAAGCTTTGAGCTTCGCGCGCTCATATGAAACGGTAAATTGAAATGTTTTCGCAGGTAACTTTCCCCCTAAATTTTATATAAGTTCTCCATAAGTTAGGCTTGAGTTGGGCTCGAGTTTGAGGCCTTAACGAGTCGGATCGAGCTTATTTAAAGCTTATTTGGGTAACGACCGAGCTCGACTCGATTCGTTAAGTCTCGAAAATATAATTATTATATAATTTTTTTTATAGTTCGGTTCGTTAAAACTCGAGATTAGCTCAATAAGGCTCGATCTCGAAGCCTTAACGAGCCGAGCTCAAACTCGATTTTTGACTCGTTTATTTAACGAGCCCAGTTTGGCTCGACTCGTTAAGGACTCTAGCTCGAGCTCGAACACCCTAAACTCGAGCTCGTTAAGACTCGAAAATAAAATTTTTATATAATTTTTTTATATCTTGATTCGTTAAAACTCGAGATCGGCTCGTTAAAACTCGAGCTCGAACACTTAACGAGCCAAACTCAAGCTCAATTTCTGGCTCGTTTATTTAACAAGCGCAACTTGGCTCAGCTCGTTAAGAGCTCGAGTTCGAACACCCTAAACTCGAGCTCAGCTCGGTTTGGCTTGTTTACAGGCCTAAGCACCACATATGGTAGTTTGTTTGTTTTTTCGACAATAAATTATATTAATAAAACACAAAAACAACAAGCGGTTAACAAGTCGAAAGGAACAACTGACGGTCGTAAAGAGAGGCCTAAGAGTCGGCGACTATAGCCTAGAAGACTAAACAACTAGCAACACTAGAAAGAAAAAAACTCCCACAAGCGAAGAAAATAACTTCCCACACGGGAGAACAGAAACACAAACACAAAATAATATAAATACACAAACCTAAACACACTTGCACTCTTTAAACAAGGCTAAAATAAAGCCCTCCCATCCGGCCAAGAATACTGAGCACCTTCACAAACCAACCAAACCTAACGAGATCCACCGAGGAGAAGTCGCACTGTCCACGGTAAAACGCAATCTCCCCCAACAAACCACCGACTTGACTTGGCCAAATCGCACAACAGCCCCCCATACACGCACACCATAACCATGACATCTCCACTGTCGCCTCCGGAGGAAACGACCTTCCCAACGAAGGTCGAACAAGAGGAATCCAAAGTTCAGTCCATTGCCCCGATCGCCACGAGGTTGCCACCGACAACTGCCTACCGAAGACCACCAGACCTTCCAATCCTCAAACTCCCGCCATGGCAAACAGGAGGGGGTCAAAATCCACGTCGCATAAAGAGAGGCTGAAAAGTCGTCAGATGTTCGTCGATGGACTTGGACAAATTAAATGCTGACATAGGCCAAAGTCTATTAACAACAAAAGAATCACCCAAATCTATTAACAACAAAAGAATCACCCGAACAACAAACAAACCGAATGTTGATATTTTTTAAATAGGTGTGGGAGGTTGATATTTTTCACTCTTTAGATTGGAGGTTCACATTTTTCAAAGTAGAGGTTGATATTTTGTAAAATAGGAATATATATTAGTTACATTATGTCAAATGTAATTAGTAAATTCATCAAAAGATGTATGGTTCGAGTTCACAAAGCATTGATACAAATACATGATACGAGTACGATACATACATTACGAGTGTTGAGATATGAGATTTTTTTTAAAAAAAAAATTAAGGACACGAGTACAATATTATATTTATATTTCATAAAAAGTTATATAAGTTATTATATTACAAAAAAATTATCCTTATAAATTATCCTTATATATTTACAATTGAAAGTTAATTCTAATGAACAAAAGCAATCCTATAAACAATCATGATCAAATATAATAGGACGAAAAAGATTTGAAACAAATCCCCACTGCACATTAACCAACTTCACCCACTGCAGAAACTATATGTCATGTATGGCGTACACTGGTGTGCTGGGATTTTCCATACCGCCGCCATTGAGCTCGACCAGAAAACCGAAGGCGAACACGAGGGACACTACTTTCTCTTGCTGCTCAACTTCAACCTCCATTAACGAGCAAGAAGCGGCTACAAATTTCGCATACTCCAGAGCTACACCTTCAGTAAGATGGCCGCACTTGAAATTCAACGAGACCCAGTACCGTTTTCTCGAGAAAACGCCGTATTCCGACATTACAGACGAAATCGAGGCGGAGAGAGAAGAAATTGAAACGAACCCAGATGAGGAATTCGTTAACGAGAACGATCACGAGGTGTTCGATAAAAGGCTCAGCAGAAATAGAGTCAAGAAGATGACCAAGCTGGAGCTCAAGAGGGCGAAGGACTGGCGAAAGAGGGTGCAGATTTTGACGGATAAGATTCTCGCTCTGAAGCCCGATGAGTTTGTGGCCGATGTTCTGGACGAGAAGCTGGTTCAGATGACCCCCACCGATTACTGCTTCGTTGTGAAATGGGTCGGCCAGTCGAGCTGGCAGAGGGCTTTAGAGGTCTTTGAGTGGCTCAACCTCAGGAAATGGTACAAGCCCAACTCGAGAATGGTGGCCATGATTGTGGCCGTGCTTGGAAAAGCCAATCAAGAAGCTCTGGCTGTGGAGATCTTCACTCGGGCCGAATCTAATGGTGTCAACACTGTGCAGGTGTATAATGCAATGATGGGCGTTTACGCTAGGAACGGGCGGTTTTCAAAGGTTCAAGACTTGCTTGATTTGATGCGCAAAAGTGGATGTGAGCCCGATTTAATTAGTTTCAATACATTGATAAATGCACGGTTAAAATCTGGGCCTATGAGTCCGAATCTGGGACTCGAGCTTCTGGATCAAGTGAGGAGATCGGGCATTCGGCCCGACATAATCACTTACAACACTCTCATCAGCGGCTGCTCGCGAGAATCCAATTTGAAAGAAGCTGTGAGTGTCTTTCAGGATATGAAGGCCAATAAGTGTGAGCCCGATTTATGGACTTACAATGCCATGTTATCTGTTTACGGGAGATGTGGGCTTCCGGGAGAGGCCGAGCGTGTTTTTAACGAGTTGGGATCGAAGGGTTTTGCTCCCGATGCAGTTACTTACAACTCTCTGCTGTATGCATTTGCTAGGGCCGGGAAAGCGGAGAAGGTGAACGAGATTTGTGAAGAAATGATGGAAATGGGGTTTGCAAAAGATGAGATGACCTACAATACTATTATTGACATGTATGGGAAAAAAGGCAAGCATGAACTTGCTTTGCAGGTATACAGGGATATGGAGACTTTTGGTCGGCATCCTGATGCGGTTACATATACTGTACTTATAGATTCTTTGGGGAAAGCGAATAAAATGGAAGAGGCTGCAAAATTGATGTCTGATATGCTGGATTCGGGCATAAGGCCAACTTTGCGTACTTACAGTGTATTGATATGTGGATATGCAAAAGCTGGTCAATGGCCGGAGGCTGAGAAGAATTTTGACTGTATGGTGAGGTCCGGTATTAAGCCAGACAATATCGCATACACTGTCATGCTGCACGTGTACCTGAGGTCAAACAACGCGAAGAAAGCGGTCTCTTTGTACCGGAAAATGGTTAATGACGGTTTCGTCCCTGAGCTTGCCCTGTATGAAGGTCTGCTGAGTGTGCTCAGTGGAGAAAACAATGAACATTGCATACAGAAAGTGGTTGAGGATCTCGAGGATCTGCATGGCTTGGGCCCCGACAAAATCAGTTCTGTGCTTACCAAAGGTGGCTGCTATGATCTTGCGGTGAAGAAATTGAGACTTGCGGTGATGGAAGGTTCTAATTTGGACCAGGAGACTTTATTATCGATTTTGACTTCGTATAGTTTATCCCGGAGATATCGTGAAGCAATAGAGCTTCTGAATTATATACAGGAGCATGGGTTTGGGTCCCACCAGTTCGTAGCTGAGTCGTTGGTTGTTATTTATTGCAAAGCTGGCCAATTAGATGTTGCTTTGGATGAATACAACAAAAATAGCGACTTGCATGCTTATGGTGGCAGCTCGGTTATGTATGATTCCCTTATCAAATCCTGTGCTGAGAATCAAAATTTTGCTGAAGCTTCTCAAGTATTTTCAGATATGAAATTCCACGGGATTGAGCTTTCGGCAGATACATATCAAACAATGATTCTTATTTATTGCAAATTGGATTTTCCCGAGACGGCTCATAATTTATATACAAAAGCAGAAGCAAAAAGCTTTCCTCTTCAAGACTCGTTAATATGCACGAGCCTTGTTGAAGCTTATGGAAGGGCAAAACAACTGGTAAAGGCAGAAAGCGTGGTTGGGAGACTGAGGCAGAGGCATAACGTATTGGACCGTAAAGTTTGGAACTCATTAATTCAATCTTATGCCGCAAATGGTTGTTATGAAAAAGCAAGAGCTGCTTTTAGTACAATGATGAGAGATGGGCCATCACCAAGTGTTGATACCATGAACGGCTTACTGCAGGCTCTTATTGTCGATGGGAGATTAGACGAGCTCTATGTTGTTATACAGGATTTACAGGACATGGGTTTCAAAATCAGTAAGAGTTCTATTATTTTGATGTTAGAAGCTTTTGCTCAATCAGGTAATGTATTTGAAGTGAAGAAAATATACCACGGGATGAAAGCTGCTGGATATCTACCTACAGTGCATCTCTATAAGGTTATGATTGGTTTGCTGTCGAGGGCAAAACAGGTAAGGGATGTTGAGGCTATGGTTTTGGAAATGGAGGAAGCAGGTTTTACTCCCGATATCTCTATATTTAATTTGTTGCTTAAAATGTACACAAAAATAGAGGACTATAAGAAGGCAGCTCTGGTTTATCAGCGAATTCAAGAATCTGAACTTGAGCCGAATGATGAAACTTACAGTACTTTAATAATAATGTATTGTAGAGATTGTAGACCTGAAGATGGTATTTTATTGATGCGTAAAATGAGACAGCTAGGTCAAAACCCTCACATGGACACCTACAAAAGCTTGATTTCAGCGTTTTGCAAAAAGCTAATGGTGGAAGAAGCTGAGGAGCTTTTTGACGGCTTAAAGTCCGAAGGGCACGCACTAAACAGATCCTTTTATCACTTGATGATGAGAATGTATAGGAAATTGGGGAATCACACGAAAGCTGAAAATCTACTGGTGACTATGAAAGAATCGGGAACTGAGCCCACGTTTGCTACAATGCACATGCTTATGACTTCTTATGGGAGCTCCGGACATCCAGTGGAAGCTGAAAAAGTGCTTAACAGTCTAAAGTCTATGGATTCAAATCTAAGCACTTTACCATACAGTTCGGTTATTGATGCTTATCTGCAGAATGGTGATCTTGAAATAGGCATTCAGAAGCTCGAGGAGATGAAAAAGGATGGCTTAGATCCCGATCACAGGATATGGACTTGTTTTATTAAGGCTGCAAGTTTGTGCCGAAGCATTGGTGAAGCCACCGTGCTACTGAATGCGATTGATAATGCTGGTTTCCATATTCCGATAAGGTAGTGGTTTTTTGTTTATGTATGCTAACATTATTGTTATTGTTTTATTTTTATTTTTGGTAAATTCTTTTATATGATACTATTCTTGAGATTAAGCTTAGGACGTGCTTGTTTACAAATTAATTCGCTCAAAATGAGTTTTTTTGGTTAACTAGAATAAATTTTGAAAAAGGTAGTATGGTTAGTTGTTAGTGGGATTTTGAGTTTATATTAAAATAATATTTGAAATAAAATAATTAAAGTTGATTTGATGTAAAAGTATGAGAGAAATGATGTGAAGTGATAATAAAATTTTGTGAGTGGATGAATAGTGAATTATAATTGATGTATGATGTGATGTGTAAGAATGATTGATTTGTATTATTTAATTATATGAATTATATTAAGGATAGTGAGGTTGAGTTAAAGTTGAGTTGGATTTTGAGTATGGATTAAATGTGAGTGACTTCTTTTGTAAACAAGCACCCCTTTAGTTGTTAGAAGTGTCCTTCATATTTCAAGATTATAAATGCCCGGTTGACTTATATTTCTATTTTTGCGAACTTACATCTGTTGAACGGGTTTTGACTGGGATAATTTGAACGGTAAACTTGTAACATTATGGATAACTAGAATTTATTCCCCCATTTAGACTAAAGACCTATGGATTGTGTTTTTCTTTTTTTCTTGTTTTCCTAAAGAAAAAAGTTTTAACCGTGGACCATCTATCACTAGTTCACAAAGCAAGATCATGTCTCTTTTGACAGGCTTTTGACCGAAAATTCGGTCCCATTGCTGTCTGAAATAGATTCCTTTCTAAAGGAACTAGAGCCTATGGAAGATAACGCAGCATTCAACTTTGTTAATGCTTTGGAAGATCTGCTGTGGGCTTTCGAACGCCGGGCAACTGCTACATGGATATTCCAATTAGCAGTTAAGAGGAACATTTATCACCACAATGTGTACAGGTGACTTGCTTGCGCAAGAAACTACTGGTTTTTATAGCATGACCATAATGCTTTAATTATAACCTCTGGTGCCATTTTTATTATGCTTTGGTTGGAGGAGACGTAACATGTTCCTAGGTTGCTCTAAATACGCAGTTTAATTTAGAACTGCTTTACTGTATAAGATACAGTAATATCAAACCGGCTAAATATGCTTTCTTAACTTGGGGGAAAAAAAAAAAACTTCATTTGTTATGTTGATTTAGTGGAGAGGATTAAAAAAGTCATTTGTATTTGCAGGGTGGCTGACAAGGATTGGGGGGCTGACTTTAGAAAGTTATCTGCTGGGGCTGCTCTAGTTGGACTAACCTTGTGGCTTGACCACATGCAGGTAATGGATTTTCTGTTTTTTATGCACTGTCGAAGATTTTATAATGTGCTCAACGAACAAAATACTTTAGCTGAACTCTAGACTTTAATTCTCTTAATTCCAAATAATGATCCTCTTCTAGTAGCCTGACGTTTTAGAGTAATTTATTGGATCAATGAGAACTTGAGTTCCTCAAACCCTGGCAAAGGAAAATCGACCAATAACTCTGAGGGCGTGCTTGTTTACAAATTAATCCGCTCAAAATGATTTTTTTTTGTTAACCAGAGTTAATTTTGAAAGGTGGAATAGTTAGTTGTTAGTGGGATTTTGAGCTTATATTAAAATAATATTTAAAATAAAATAATTGAAGTTGATTTGATGTAAAAGTAGGAGAGAGATGCTGTGAAGTGATGGTTAGTTAAAATTATGTGGGTGGATGAATAGTGAATTAAATCTAATGTGATGTATAAGAATGATTGGTTTTATTATTTAATTACATTGATATTATTGAAGATAGTGGGTTGAGTTAAAATTGAGTTAGATTTTGAGTATGAATTGAATTTATTAAATTTAATTCAATTTATCCAATTTATTTCAACAGGATGCATCACTTGAAGGTTTTCCCGAATCCCCGAAATCTGTAGTATTAATTACTGGCACAGCCGAATACAACAAGGTCTCGTTAAACAGCACGCTCAAAGCCTACCTTTGGGAAATGGGCTCCCCATTTTTACCGTGCAAAACCCGAACTGGGGTTCTCGTTGCAAAATCTCATTCTTTGAGGATGTGGTTGAAAGATTCTCCTTTTTGCTTGGACCTCGAGCTGAAAGATAGCCCTGTACCACCTGAGGTTAATTCAATGCAGCTAATCGAAGGATGCTATATAAGACGAGGGCTGGTCCCTGCTTTTAGCGATATAAAAGAGAGGCTTGGGCATGTGACACCTGGCAAGTTCTCGAGGCTTGCTTTGCTGTCAGATGAAAAACGGGATAAGGTTATCCGGGCTGATATTGAAGGTAGGAAAAATAGATTGGCTAAGTTGGAAGAAGTTGGGGCTATGGGAAAGAGGAAAGTGAGCAGGTTTAAAAAAGGAAAGTTTATTAGGAGGGATGCTATTTTTGGAGCTGAAAATGGAGTTTTGCCGTAAGTTTTTTTTTATCCTACCGGAAAATGACCAACCGGTATCTTCATCAAAACACCACTCAAGATGAAGATTGGGCTCCTTGATTTTAGGGAAAATGCATGTTAGCTCTTGGAAAATATAAATTAAAAAAATTACTATCTCGGCTAAAGGTCATTCTAAAGCTTCGGCTTATCCCCTCGTTCATGTGCCTGTGGCTGTGATTTCTTGAGGCGAAGACAATGAAGGGCTCTCGAATCAAATGGCTCTGAGAGAGATGCAAATGCAATAATCATCAAATTTGCAAAAGAATTGCAAATAAGAGCAGATATTCCTTTGTCTGGTTGTGTGGGCATTGGTGTTTGATTAATTATCTATCATGTGTTGGGTACTTCAAAATGCTACATTACTTGTACAGTTAATAGTTAATAGAACACTTGTGTGAAGTCTGATTTTTGTTTTTTGGCCCCTCTTTAATGCCCTGTAATTTTATCTTCTTCCTTTTTTTTTTTCAAACGGTCAATCAATTCTTATAATGAACAAAGATTCAATGTACAATTCCACACTGGTATATATTTTTATCATTTTGTATATATTTTTTTCTCATATATATGTTGGTTTGTTGGTCCTCAACACAGTTGAATTGGTGGTATTATTCTAGTCTACACAGTTCGCATGATTTATAAAGTCATCCACAATTATAAGAATGGTGTTATTAATACACTTGTGGCATGTGTTTATAAAGTCATCCACAATTATAAGAATGGTGTTATTAATACACTTGTGGCATGTGTTAACAGGAAAATGCTATGATTATAAAGTCATCCACAATTATAAGAATGGTGTTATTAATACACTTGTGGCATGTGTTAACAGGAAAATGCTATGTGTACATAATCAATGTATATAAAGATGTACATAACACTCACATGGAGTGAAGTTCATTTAATTTTTTATTTTTAGTGAGTCTCACTCAATGTGAGTATTATGTAAATCTCTATGTACATCTCTATGTACCTATAGCACTTCCCGTGTTAACATCAATTCACGGATGACTCATAATGAAGTAATTTGCTGACTTCATAGAATTAGAATTTCTATAAATACTAGTCTTCAATAGGAAGTCATATCCACTGTTAATACTAAATAATAAATTGTACTATTACTCTGAGTAATTCAAAATTTTATCGCTTTTTTTTTATTAATCAATGAGGGGCAAGTAAATTTTTTTATTTATATATACCTTTCATTATGATGTCTTTTAAAGCTAATATNGAGATAGTAGTTTAAGCATATTTTTTTCAACATTATTCAGTAATGTGTAATTTAGCGGAGTAAATTTAAGAGAAATTTACATTCTACATTCGATTTGGTTTTTGCAGCCACTCCTTGAACTTTCTCAAATTTTGTTTACCTAATGCATATATTTACCATAACTATACTACAATTGTGTGTATAATATATGTGCTATGTCAATTGCCCCAATATTAAAAACTGTGAGATTATGTTTATCTGATGTATACATACAGTATAATATATGTTCTGTCAATTGTCTCAATATTAGAAACTGTCAGATCTTGTTTATCGGGTTTAATGCACCAAACTCCCCTGTATTATACGAAATATGCGTGTTTTTTCCTGATATTTTAAAAATTGCGTCAGACCCCCTTGTATTTAACTATCAGTTGCACACGCTCCCTTTTTTTTTATTTTCCATTTAACGGCGTTAGTTTTTTATCAAAAGCCCCGTTGTACCCTCTGATTATTATATATATTTATATTAAATTGAATTTATCGAGAGGTTAAATAAAAAAAATTGTTAGTTCCAAGATTCGAACCTAAGACCTCTTAGAGGAAAGACAAGAGGTGCAACCGCCACACCACTAAATGTTAAGTGTTAGATATAGTAAATATTAAGATATATCGCATTACATATGGATAAATGAAATTAAATTTAGAAGATAATGTAAATTATATTAAATTAATTTATTAATATATAAACTTATAATAAATTAAAATATTAAATTAAATTATTAAGATATAAACTTATAATAAATTAAAATATAATAAATTAAACTATATAAAATTAAATAAAAAAATAATTAAAATAACTTACTATATTAGACAAACACAAAATAATTAAAAAAAATTATAATTAAAAATAAAAAATTAAAATTATGTTTGTAATAATATTTATTGTATGTATTTTATATTATTTTTATATTTTATTATTGATTTTTATTTATATTATTCCATCCATATTATTTTGTTGCATTATTCATTTTATTTTATCTTAGTTAACAAGCTATATTTATTTTGTTTAACTTAAGACAATGAAATAAAATTAAAATAATTTTTACTAAATAAAATTTAGAAATTAAAATTATTTATTTACAACTAAAATTATTTACTAAAAAATAATAATTTATTTCAATTTTTTTTCATTCATACTGTATGTAAGAGTAAAACATATTAAAATTATTTGATAAATAATATTTTTTATTATATTATATTATATTAATTTCAGTTATTTATTTATTTAATTTATTATTCCATAATATTTATTTGATTTATTATTTATTTTACTTTATAATTTTTATACTCTATTATCTTATATAATTATTATTTTTATTTTTATTTAATTAGTTTATTTTAATTTTATTTATTTATTAATTTCATTTTTGTATTTATTTTTCTCATTTAAAATTTATTTAATTATAAATTTATTTAATTTTAGTTCACGCTACTACATTAAATTTTATCTTACTTTATTTTAATTTAATTTTTTTCATTATTTTAAGTTAATTTAATTTATTGGAAGTTATTATTATTATTATTATTATTAATTATTTAATTTATAGTAAATTTACATATTATCCTTTTATTTTATTTATTTACTTATTTGTAAACTATTTAATTCATTTCAGTATAATGTATAGATATATTTATGTTCAATAGATTACGCAATTTTTAAAATACAGGGGGAAAACGCACAGATTTAGTATAATACAGGGGGATTTGGTGCACTAAACCCCTTGCTTATCTCATATATATATATATACAGTATATCTGAACATATATTAAAAACACCAATTATATTCACTAGTTTTGATCAGAAGATATTTCACGAAGAACAATTTCAAGATGTTGAAGAACAAACAATTCCGTTTGAAATTTTGAATTCTTGATCTTTTAATTCTAGGTATCATATTTAATAATGTTTTTTATTTTCAAATTTTTGTTTTATTTCGGTTCATTCGGCGAGATTGATTGCATGTTTGATTTATGGAGAGAAATGTAATCTCGTAGATGTAGAAAAAAATGACATCCAAATACCACTTTGATTAAAGTTTATTTGCTACGTATATGTAAATATATCTACAAGGATTCTATATATGTAAATTTCCCTAAATTTAATGTTCGATCTTGGACCGATTATTGGGCTACAATGTCCAGAGGTAATTGGGCCTTCCCGCTTCACAAATGTCCACTTCTTAAATGGGCCATTTTTTCGGCCCATAAACCTCAAAAACCCGGCCACGACCTAGGGTTTTATTTCTCCCCCGCTGTATATAAAAACCTGATCTTCATTTGTCGATTAACCATTGCAGCAGAGCAGAGGACTTGCTCCACTATTCGTTCAGCTAATCGCCGGCGCGGCCACCTAAACTTCAAGGTGCAGCGTTCAATCGGTTGACTTGTCGTCCTATTAGATGCTTTGTTGGTGATTGAATCTCGTATTTTTTATGTTATGTTTATGTGACTGAGCTTAATTAGGGCGATTGAGGTAGTTGAATCTGCTTCCTTTGATTTGAGGAAATGTGGCTGTTTGTTGTTTTCACATTTCTTTGTGTCGTTTGTGTATTTCTTCTTCTGAAGTGTGCTTTTGAGTTCTTTACTGTTTTCCTTAGATTGGGTCTTTTCTGGGTTTCATGATTTTGTCCTGACTTTGATTAATTCGATTTTATATTCAATTCTAGGAGCTGTATGGCATTTCTACTCTTGTTTGATTCGTATTTATGAGTTTATGATTGCAGATTTGACCTGTTTTTAAGGTTCAGCTTATTGCAATATTACTGCCGTTATATCTAGGCTGCCTTTAATTTTTTTTTCGACTGGTAACAAACTCTAATTGTTTCAGCAAGTGAACTTTGTATTTTTTTTATTTTTTTTTTCTCTCTTTCCTGGTTCTGGTTAATTTTTGTTTTTTGCCTAGTGATTGTTGGATTCTGGTTTTACTTATTTGAGTGGATATCTTATGACAGTTTATCACATTCCTCATTTGTGTACTCTAGGTAAGCCATGGTGAAGCACAACAACGTTGTGCCCAGTTCCCACTTTAGGAAGCACTGGCAAAACTATGTAAAAACTTGGTTCAACCAGCCAGCCCGCAAGCACAGGAGAAGAATCGGTAACAATGTCTTCCTTTATTATCTATTTATCTTTTATTGTTTCATTCAATTTAGCAAAGTATAACTTACAAGACTTCATATGTTCTTTGGATTTTATCTCTTTCAGCAAGACAGAAGAAAGCTGTGAAGATTTTCCCGAGGCCCACTGCTGGTCCCCTTCGTCCGATTGTCCATGGGCAGACCTTGAAGTACAACATGAAGGTCAGAGCTGGTAGGGGATTCTCTCTGGAGGAGCTGAAGGTGAGCCTTTAAATTTCAGCAATATTTAAGTCCGTATTCTTATCTTATAATACACTTAAATGTGTTAGGGTGTGATCGGATATAAATTCAATAAAAAAAACGAATAAAAACTCAAATTTAACTCAACCCCATTATACTCAATATTATCCATATAATTAAATAATACTAATTAATCATTATTACACATTACATTAACTTTATTTCACTATTTATCCACCCACATAATTTTAACTAACAATCACTTCACATCATCTTCTCCCACTTTTACGTCAAATCGACTTTAATTATTTTATTTTAAATATTATTTTAATATAAATTCAAAATCCCACTAACAACTAATCATACCACCTTAACAAAAAAACCAATCAAATTTATATTCAATCACACCCTTAGTATTTTTTGATATTTGCATTTTGTTGCTATTCGACTGTAAGCTATAGAAAGATGTTTGTGTTTGCATCATATGTTAATTTCGTCAGTTTTTTTTTAATTTTTTTTTCCTTCATATGTGTACCAGGCTGCAGGAATCCCGAAAAAACTTGCCCCAACTATTGGCATCTCGGTCGATCATAGGCGCAGAAACCGTTCCTTGGAGGGTCTTCAGACCAATGTTCAGAGGTTAAAGACATACAAGGCTAAGCTTGTTGTCTTCCCAAGACGTGCGCGCAAGTTTAAGGTTAATAATCAGACTTCTCCTTTCAGACAATATCTAATAACCCAAGAAGTTGAAATGAAAATTTCACATTTATTAACCATTTTTCTGACGCAGGCTGGTGATTCTACTGCCGAGGAGTTGTCTACAGCCACACAAGTTTCTGGTCCTTACCTGCCGATTGTACGTGAGAAGCCGAATGTTGAGCTCGTTAAGGTCACTAATGAGATGAAATCGTTCAAGGCTTATGACAAGCTTCGACTGGAGAGGATGAATGAGCGTCATGTTGGTATTAGGGCTAAGAGGGCAGCTGAGGCTGAGAAGGAAGAGAAGAAATAGTCGAAGAGAGGGGTAAGAGAATCGAGTGTTTACGGGTCTGTTAGTCTTGGATTTGTTTTTGTTACGTTTTTGTCGTGTTTGCAATGAACCTTGGACCTTTTAATTAATTTATCTGAATTTTATTTGAGATATTTAGTACCAACATGTCTTCAGTGTACTGATTTTTATGAGATACAACTTCAATCTTGTAATGTTTTCATGTTAGCTTATTTTTACTGGCCTTGTTATTTGGTTGATCTTGATCATATGGTTTNGATAATTTGGGTGATTTGCCTGTGAGGTTGAGAGAGAGCTTGTAAGAAAATGCCAAGGTGATTGCAAAACGGGTTATTTCACGTTAGCCTCGTACAACAAACTGTTCCTTAATTTGGGTGATTTCACGTTAGCCTCGTACAACAGTGTTCCTTAATTTGGGTGAAGAGAAAAAGTGATGTTCCTCTCCAAAATAACAGGCAAATTTATTTCATTTGAGTACATAACTGAAACAAAACAACATAGAAATAACAACAAACAAACAGAAATAACAAAAAAGAAACAGAAAAAAAAGGAATGAACAATACAGAACAAATTGCCAAATTTTTGCTCCCTCTCCATTACATGTCTGCAAAAAAAAGCTTAAAATTGAAAACCCTCAAAAAACCATTCACCACTTAGCCATGCACTTCCCCATAAGCAGGCCACTCAATACGAAGCCCATGCAGGCCCAACCACCTCGTTCTCCAAGCCCGGCCCAAACAGCCCAAGCCTCTCCAGCAGCCGCTGGGCCAGTGCTCCAACAGCATACGACACGCCAGACGCTATAAACCCCAAGACAACAAACGTGAAAACCGAACTCAAATAGGGCTTTGGGGCCCGCCGGACATAGGCCCGACCCACAGCCAGCCAGAAAATGCACACAAAGGAGACAGCTGCCGTCACCAGCAGCTTGAGCTGCCTGTCGTCCGTTTTCCGGAAGGAGAAGGCGTAGGTGACAGGTGGCACTAATCCGAATACGAGGTATGATATCACAGAAACTACTGCGTGGAGTAAGAAATTCTGGCGGCGGCCGAGGAGTTCTTTGTAGCGGTCAGTTATTGGTGATTGGTTCGGGATTTGGGTGCCAGCTGGCGGCTCTATTGGGCATTCGCATTTTAGTTCGTGGAGCTGTGATTTGAATTCGAAATCATGCAATTTGAGTTAGTGATGAATGTGAAGTAATAAGCTAGCTTATAGCTTTTAAGTGAATTTTGAGCTTATAGCTAATAGCTGATGATTTATGGCTGAGAAACTAGCTTATATGATAAAAGTGTTTAGTAAAATTAGCTGATAAGCTAGCTCAAATAAAAATTTCCTACCCAAGGAAGCTTATGAGATAAGCTCGAGTTTTTTGAAAAAGCTCATCCTACCAAACCAAACTTATTTGAATACAAGAAGTTTATAACCTAATCAAATAAGCTATAAACTATCTTTTATGTTTACCAAACACAGCCCAAAGAGGATAGTGAAAGAGAGAAGGACTAATTACAAACACTAACTCTCAAGGTTTAGTCTAAACCCTTTGAGGTCTCTATACTTTAGTAGGATAGATATAAATGTCAAGGGGGTTGTAAGAGTTGATGAATTTTAAAGACTTTTTTTTTAGTCAGGCTAAATGTTATAGGGTAAGTTGTAATAATCCCAAAAGGAAAAATTTTTAATCTATGTCCTTGTGATGGCAAATATTGGAAACTATTTTTGTCAAACTGTATGTCCTGTAAGGATCCAGTATTTATTTATTTTTTTTCCATGATGAAGATTCTTAATGATACAGCTCATAGAGAGATTAATAAGTACTATATTAAAACTTACATTTTGACAGATGACGAAAAGTCCCCCAATGAGATTGGCCATTCCAAGAGCTAAAATGTTCACTGTAGATAAGATGGAGAAACAAACATAAAAAAGCTACTTAATTACAATTTACAACAATTACACACTAACACACACACACACACACACACACAAATATGTTGTTCAAAAAGCAGATTTTTATCTTGAAATATAAATCATTTTTTTTTCTGTAATTATGTCTATGAATATTATAATTTTGTGAGCATACTTACATGTGCCAGCACCACCAGCAGCAGCTGATGACACGATGCTCAAGCTAGTGATCGATTCAATAAGCCCACCATAAATTATGCTCTTAATCACTTCAATTCCACGCTCTTCTCTCTCTTCGGTTCTCTCTCTACCGACAATAGTAGTTTGAGGCGAAGATTGTAATAAACTGGCAGTTTCTGACAAACTGCTTATGCTTTGCACAGTTTGAGATAAACCATCCGGCTGTGAATCTATAGTTATAACTGTATCTTTGCCTGCATTAGATTAGATATTCATAATGAGAAAATGGCCAAGATGTGTTAGTATATATATACTTTTTATGTTAATTACTTAATTGATATACCTTCTGCATATGGAACACCTTTCAATACAGAAACATTTTCGACTTTCATTGGCTCCCCCGAGTGGATGTCAAATTTGGTTTTGGTTATTATATGCTGAGGTTGTTCAGTGGAGTAGACTTCACCTATCATTGAAAAGAAAATCATTATTAATATTCCATAAAATTTTAGTTGAATAAAAATACCCTTAAGGATTAGTTTAATGACCAAAAAAATATTCAATTTATCGCCATCAGGGTTGGGTTCTTTGAAGAAAGATAACAAATCTCAAGGTATTTGTAATTTAGAAATTTAGATGGGTCTTTTTGATTCAGGCTAAACCTCCGGGGTAAGTTTTATTTTTATCACAACATTTGAGTGGAAACTGGAAAGCAATCAGACAAGAAGTTTGAACAAATACCATGATCAGTACTGCTGAAACTTTCATGTTTATTGTCGAGAAATGACTCGGTTAGAATGGTGGTTCGAACTTCCTGTTGCTCAGCATGGGGAATTGACACTGAAATGTTCAGCTTGCCGTCCACATCAGAGGCTTTAAGCTCGGCAGCTGGCGTAGAAAGCCGGATAGCATCCTTATCTGTACATTCATCACCAATTATGCATAAATTAAAATAATAGAAATGAAATCAATACAAGATTGTGCTGTAAAACTACCTTATATCAGCCATTAAAAATATCAAAAACTCTGATATTCATTTCTGACCTGAGCTTCATTCAGTCTAAGTTTCCACTAGGAAAACTGATGTGGCATAATTTGTGTCCTGTATGTGCTGACATGGAAATTTTTCTTTTTTTTTTTATTTTTAAAGATAAAAAGTGAACAATAAAATTTTTCATGTGCATCAGAACTGCAGGGGAATACAGTAGTTTTGACAAAAGAATGTCGCTGAAAGAAAACGTACAATAATTACAAGTAGAACACAATGTAAGACTTTCAGAATATCATACCTATTGTCTCTGTCCATGTTGTATCGAGTTTACCCGCAGCACTATTTAGTAAGATCCCATTCAATGAAGGCTTTGGCTTTGAAAAATCTAAATTCTCGACGAGACTAAGACTATCATTGTTCTCATCTCCACCTTCCACCAGACTATCATTGTTCCCAGCGGGACCCACATTTTTTTCGGAGGCAGAAGAATGCGAAGCAGCATTTTGTGAAGATGACGACTGACCAGTCTCACCGCCTAACGACATGACTTCACGTGGCGCCCCTAAGAAAAAGGAAAGTGCTTCAACAGTTAGGAATGAAAGGTTGTCTCTAACCCAAAAAGAGAAGTGCCTAAATCCATACTAAATTCATACTCAAAATCTAATCCAAACTTTAACTCAACTCCACTATCCTCAATAGTCAATATTATCAATATAATTAAATAATACCAACTAATCATTCTTACACATCACATCAATTTTAATTTACTATTCATCCACTTACATAATTTTAACTAACTATCACTTCATATCATCTCTCTCCTACTTTCACATCAAATCAACTTTAATTATTTTATTTTAAATATTATTGTAATATATAAATAAAATCTCACTAACAACTAACTATACTACTTTTTTTTTTTTAAATTAACTATGGTTAACCAAAAAAACTCATTTGGAGCAGATATATTTGTATACAAACACGCCCTAAGGAAATGAAAAACGAGTACCTTGCTCAACAGCAATTTCCGGCTTATTTGATGCAAACATGGAGGTGAACCAGTTTTTTTTCGCTCGTGGGGCTTGTTCTTCCTCGAGTTTTTCATTCCTACTTCTGTCCCCAAATTTCCTGAACAACTTGAATCCATTCCCTTAAAATATTCAAAAACAAAAGAGGTTATCCTTATATGTAGATACTGTGATTGTGAAAGTTCCAATTGTTTAGATATAGTGTCTCTAACTGAATAAAACTAACTCACATATACTATAAAGAAAATAAATTATTATTATTTACCTGTTGGAATAAAGAAGCTGAAACATGATAAGCATCTGAATACCTCAGGACCACTTTCACGTTCAACTTCATTTACAGTCGGTATTTGAGCATCAATATTATCAGCTGTGTCCTCATCATGAACATGGTCCCCATGAGATTGGACCGAGTCCTTGCCCAAAGTGGACCCAACCACATTTTCCGTTTTGTTACGTTTAGCCTCTTCATCGGAAGTTCGAACTCGACGTTTTCTTTTACGAAGAATAACTCTCCTTGTGATACAACTATTGCAGTTGGGACAATACAAATCGTGCGTGTTTTGCTTCTTTATTACTCTCTCAACGTCTAGTTCCGCTACTTCCAAGTCATCATTGTCAATGAGGTCAACATCAGCACTTTCTATCTCGTCCGAGGATTTATTATGACTTGGCTTATCTTCTAGAGATGAAATTTGGGAAGCTTCAAAATTTATACGTGTTGGATCATCACCTGAAAATTTTGAATTATATTTAAACTGTTAATTTTAAATATATGCAATAATGTGAGGCAATGGACTACAACATAATACAGCCAACTGAACTTGCAAGAAAGACAATTAGAAAGAGGATTTAAGTGCATAAGCTGAAGACAGTAACAGTACAATCCAAGCCTCAGTTGATAACATAACAAAAATCCCACAAAGCAATCGATTTAATCTACCACTGAAAAATCTACCGAATGCTGTCAGTGAAATTATTCATTTGACACTTACCAATCATTCTGTAAGATTAAAAAGACCACATCATCTAAAAATTTCAGACCATACTCGCTCTTGTACAGTGTCTACTGACCTTCAGATTCAAAATTTAAGGTTTTGACAGTCATCAGCTTATGCATAAGCCCTTCATGATTGTGAATATGATCAACACGTCCACTCCCATTCCGATATGTCCAAGTGCAGATTCGACATTTCCATATTCCTTCAGTCAGAAAACAAGACAACTGATGTTACAATTGTAACAATTGCAAATAGTGCTAATTTATGTATATAATTAATGAAAGAATAAAAAAAAAGGAAGATTTCTTCATAAGGTCAAGCAAAACGATCTTTTACTCCTTGTAGTTCATAAATTGTAAACAAAACTAGGTAGTGTGAACGCCTATGATCTTTAGAGGAAGTTTATCTAAGGGCTGAAAACCGGTCACTCAAGCAATTTGACCAATATAACCTTCTGGATCTAATCCACTACTTCAATTTCATCTTCTTCATTACTCTGCTGCTACAAAACGAGTAACTCAGACCAGAAACCCAAGTAAAATATATGCCTAAGAAGCTGCCAATATATGCAAAATTTCAGGTGGCTACAGAATTTCAATGAAATCCCTGAAATTATATATATCCAGTAATTCAACTCCATAAATATAATATTATCTAACGAAAATATCATAAAGAACACTGTTTGAGCATAAAAGCCAGTAACCTGAGCCACTGCAAAGTGCAAAGTAGCTAATCCCACTAAGTTTTCCCCAGATCAAGTTATGCAGTGTGTGGGCGTGTGTGAAAAATTATGAGTTAAAGACAAACAAGATGGCAATTCAATTCTTTATCTATAACTACAGGCAGGTAGGGTTGAAATGTGGACATGAAGTGGGGTTTGAGAGCAACATTGTCAAGCTACTGTTTTCAAGAATCTATTACAAAAATTAAATCTTGGGGAAATAAATCAAAATTTTATAAGATAGCTATTACTGTGAAGTGCCCACTAACTTACCTTCAACTTTATCAAAGAAAACAAGAGCCTCCTTTTTCTGCTCCCCATTTATGGCTGCTGGTTCATTTTCGAGCACCCCTTCAAGCTGCTTCTCTATTTTCTGCTCCGCATTTATGGCTTCTGGTTCACTTTCAAGCACCCCTTCAAGCTGCTTCTCTATTTTCTGCTCCGCATTTATGGCTTCTGGTTCACTTTCCAGCACCCCTTCAAGCTGCTTCTCTATTTTCTGCTCCGCATTTATGGCTTCTGGTTCACTTTCAAGCACCCCTTCAAGCTGCTTCTCTATTTTCTGCTCCCCATTTATGGCTGCTGGTTCATTTTCAAGCACCACTTCAAGCGGCGTCTCTATTTTTTGCTCATTTTCAGGGTTTGCTGGTAAATCTGAACTTTCAGCTTCATTCTCTATTTTTTGCTCATTTTCAGGGTTTGCTGGTAAATCTGAGCTTTCAGCTTCATTTTCTGAGAGCCCATTGCTCTCAGAAACTCCATTAGTGGTCACCTCACCATCATCAACTTCAGCAATTTCAGTTGCTTTAATTCCATTAGCATTTCTTGATTTTCTTACAACCAAAGTACTTTCTTGCTCTTCTTCTTCTTCTTCTTCCTCCATAGCTGGCTGCTCCCACTTTTGCTCTTCCTTTTCCATCTCCACAAACACAGGTACACAGTGAGAGAGAAAGAGAGATGCAAAAGTTTGTTTTATTTATACAAATGGAAATTTGCCCAATGGACAAAAAAAGCTGTCAGACATTGCAATTGCGTGACAATGTTGCTGAAAACCATATAGGAAATTATTTTTATAATTTCTTAATGATTTTTATGTTTTTTTTAGTTGTGGTAAACGAAGTAGTAGGGAAAGAGCGCGCCTTATCTCTATGAGAGTTGACACTAAACAGTTGTGCATTTATCAAATTTTGAAGTAATAAATGGAGGTATTGAACATTGAGAATGTGAACGAGATTCTTGCATCACAGCCAGCAAAGAGCTATAGATTAAAAAATATAGCTTCTATTTAAAGTTCTGACTTTTGAATTACTGTAGTATGTTTGTTTTAATTTAGTATATACTACATACTCAAATGTTACATTATAAAATATAATATAAATAAGAATATTGTTGTTGTAACTTGTAAACTTAAGCTGGTTCGAAATCAGACAAATTGTTCAGTAGTTCGTTCACCTAAACAACATATTTGATAGTTTTAACTTTTAACGAATGCAACCCTTATAGCATTTCCAACCCGCACTGGATATCTGGCGGAAACGGCAACTGTGGAGGAAAATCCTCTCCAACCCACTCTCTTCATTTGGCGGAAACGGCATACCTAGTTTTGTGGAACAGTTTGGCAACCGTTCCACTGTTCACCCGCTTATCTTTTTTTATTTTTTTTTTTTTCTTTTTTTTTTTTTTTTTTTTTTTTTATTGTGTTAAAAATAAAATTGGGTTGTATTTTTAGCCCAATTAGATATTTTGGTTGGGCTTTTTAATTAAACTTTGGCTAATTGAATTCATTAGTTTTATGAGTTGAATTAAAATATCTTTATACATGTTTTAAACTTAATTATTGTAATTAACATGGTAGGATTTTAACTAGTGTAATGAAAAATTGAATAATTTATTAATTATTATGATAGAATATTAATTAGTATTTAAATTCTCTTAAGTAAATATTACAAACAAACAAGTTAAAATTACAAAATAAGGATAAACATTCAACTCACTTTAAATTAACGGTACGAACACTAAAATAAAAATCAAAACATAAAGATAAACTAAAAAATACATCTTAAAGCTCACACATAGTACAACAACGATAATTAATACGGAACATAAAAACTAAAAAGAATTATAAAATAGACGATTTAATAGACTTAATTGTCACCATAATAATCATTCAAATTTCCTCCGGCATGCCCGATGTCGTCGAGAAATTCAAATTGATCCATGTTAGATGATGGTGGTGTTGCTTGATATTGTTGTTGCTCAAATTCTCTTTCTTGCAAAATTTGCATTTGTTTTTGTTCCCAATGTCGACGGATCATGGGATTTGTAATGGTATCAAATCTATCATCAAAATTCTATCTTCATCCCTCTTTTTCTGCAAATCAAGTTGTTGTTTCTGTAATTGAAGTTGGACACTTTGACGTTCTTCGGCCTTCTGCAACAAATCAACAATACTATCACTTGTAGCATTTAGAGTATTAAAATACTGGCAAAATTAGTCTTCATTTTTCTTCTTCAATTTTGCTTTCTTCGCTCCCATTGGACGTTGAGAGGATGTTCCACCAACACCATCGTTACTTTGTTGAGGACTAAAAGACGACAATCCCAGAGATTCTGGTGTTGGTTGTCCATCATATGGAACGTCGGACTCGGAAGAGTCATTGAGTGTATCGAAATCCCGACGATGAGATCGTGGTTGGGAGACATTATCATCAAATTTTCCAAACTCTTTGAATAGTCGGAATACATGTTGGAACTTGAAGCCATCTTTATATTTTGGGTCTTGTTCAAACAATCGTTCGGCTTGTTCAATCTACAAACAAAGTAAAAAATATAATTGTAAGTATACCTATAAAACAAGCAAATAACATGAACCGAGATTGAACTTAAAATAAAGTACTCACCCTATCTTGTATTTGCGTCCCACTAGGATTGCAAAATTCGATTGCTTCAAGCATCCATTAAACCTCCGACAATGAGTTTCTATGAGACGGTAACGAGAGTTAAGAGACCTTATAGAGCGTTCTGGTAAATCCTTGTGTTTTTTGGAGTTGTATTCATCATGTATTTTTTTCCAAAAGGTTGAAGAATTTTGGTCATTTGATGATATTGGATTCTGTGAAACATTTATGTAGCATCTCACAATTAAGACATCTTCGGGTTTGGAGTATTTCGGCCTTTTTGAAGAAGACATTTTAAAGAAAATAAGATATTCAAGAAGAGTGGGAAGAAGAACACTTCAATAATGGAAGAAGAAATGAGATATGTGTATTTTGCTTCTTAAAGTGTGATCTATAAATAGAGAAACGAATTCACATGCAAAACAAGTATAGTGACTATAAAAAGGAATCAAATGCAAGAGAAATCAATGTCACCTAATTGTTTATTCATTTGTCATTCAATATAAAAGAATCCAATGATGCAAAGTAATAATGATCACATGGCATTGTCCAACAATAATGTAGTGTAATAATGATTACATGGCCTTGTCCGAAATTATTGCATTTGGCATTATGTTGGTCAAATTTTTTTCACATGGCGTTGTCTGAAAAAGAATCCAATGGTTAGAATCCAATCCAAGGATCACATGGCATTGTCCAACAATAATGTAGTGTAATAATAATCACATAGCCTTGTCCGAAATTATTGCATTTGGCATTGTGTTGGTCAAATTTCTTTCACATGGCATTGTCTGAAAAGGAATCCAATGGTTAGAATCCAATCCAAGGATCACATGGCATTGTCCTATAATAATGTAGTATAATAATGATCACATGGCCTTGTCCGAAATTATTACATTTGACATTGTGTTGGTCAAATTTTTTTCACATGGCATTATCAGAAAAAGAATCCAATGGTTAGAATCCAATCCAAGGATCACATGGCATTGTCTGAAAAGGAATCCAATGAAGAAAACATGTATTTCTTTTATTCATCCATTCGTCTATATAAACATGAAACTATATATCATATCATCCAAACTACATATTACATTCATTATCAAATAATTCTGTAATATTTCCCTCTAATATCATTCACAATGAATTATCTTCCTCCTTATAATTATGATTCTGATGAGGAAGATGCAAATGCTTCATTGCCTCTTTTTTATAACACTTTGGAATCAACCACCACTCATATATTGCAAACCAATAATTTTTTCATGGCACATGCTCTCTCCGCGCAAAGTAGCCAACCAACTTGGGGAGGTTCTGTTCCGGGACATATAGTCCATCGTGATCGGGAGGAGGCCCATCGCACTCTGTTTCGAGATTATTTTAGTAGTAATCCAACCTACGATGAAGATACATTTCGCCGAAGGTTTCGAATTTTGATTCATAATTTCAAACGTGTTATGCGAGCATTGGAAAATCATGACAATTTTTTCCAGCAACGTCGGGATGGTCTTGGTCGACTTGGATTGTCAACATATACAAAAGGGACAGCGGCGCTTCGTCAGTTGGCCTATAAAACTCCAGCAGATGGTGTTGATGAATATCTTAAGATTGCTGAGTCAACGGCCAATGAATGCGTAAAGAGATTCTGCCGTGGAGTCATTGAAGTTTTCGGAGCACAATATCTGAGATCATCAAATCACGATGATATCGCTAGATTGCTTCATATTGGTGAACAACGTGGTTTTTCAGGTATGTTAGGTAGCTTGGACTGCATGCACTGGGAATGGGAGAATTGCCCTAAGGCATGGGCTGGTCAATACGGTGGACGTTCCGGAAAGCCAACAATCATTTTGGAAGCTGTGGCAGATTATGATCTATGGATATAGCACGCATATTTTGGTATGCCAGGTGCGAATAATGACATTAATGTGCTGTAAGCATCACCTCTAATGTCAAATCTTGCTGAAGGTATCGCTCCACCAGTTAATTACACCATTCAAGGTAAACAATTTAATATGGGTTATTATTTAGCAAATGGTATATATCCAAAATGGTCCACTATTGTTCAGTCTTTTGTTGCACCATCAAATCCAATGGAGGAATACTTTAAAATGAGACAAGAGGCATGTAGAAAAGATGTTGAGCGTGCATTTGGAGTTTTGCAAAAAAGGTCTGCAATCGTCGCGGGTCCTATTCGTTTTTGGAAAAAAAAAAAGGTGCTTAATGATATAATGAAAACATGTATTATTTTGCACAATGTGAATGTCGAAGAGCAACGCGATCTTAGTGCGCCAATTATAAGTGATGTTCAATTTGGTGCTCATACGGTTACTCCAGCACTGCGAGATCACGTCTCTTTTCAACAATTTCTTGCTCGACACAAACGAATCAAGGATAAGTCTACCCACTATGAACTTCGTAATGCATTGGTTGCACATTTGTGGGAAAAATATTCTCATGGCAATAACTAGTGTTGTATTTTGTTTTCCGTATTTCTTATTGTATTGATGCTTCAAGTTTGTGTTGATGTTTTTTTTTAAATAAATGTTTGTGATGTAATCCACGTGGTTTTATTATGCAGTGTGTAATTTTATGATTTTGATTTAAATTTCTTAATTAATCTTATTAATCAATAATTAATATATATTCATAGATATGTAAATTTTAGTAAGCATAATGCATTAAAATGTAATTGTAGAGATTATTTAATAAATTAATAAAATTAGAAAAGAATATGCTTGGAATATTCTTTTAGGGGGGAATTATAGAGGGAATGGAGTTGCTGACACTGTTGAAACTATAAAACTAGTGAAATTTTACTGTAGAAACTGTATAGATAGAGAATATTGTGGGAGATGCTCTTAGTCACCACTTACGGGTACATGAGTTTTTAAAACAAAGATAGTGTTACATGAGTAAAAGCATATGTGAAAATGTCTAGTCCAAAGGACCACAGATATAAATAGTTATCTTCAGATCACAATAAATAAGAAAGATAAAGTCTTCACTTAAATTGTAGCTTGCT